TCTTCTTTTTCTTCATTGTGTTTTCTATTCTTATCTACAAAAGTGCTTATTTTCACAATACAAGTGCTTAATATATAATACAAGAACTTAAAAAGACAAGTGCTTATTATTCGATGGCATCCCTATTTGCCACCATACTTTTACAGGATGGGGGGGGGGAAACAGCTACAAGGTGCGTTTAAATTTGAATACGATACCTTACAAGTTGTGGACAAGTAAATGTGCAGTATAAGCCATATAACTTTAAAATCAACTGCATAAATTCAGAATAAATATTAAGAGACAACATAATATGCACCAACAAAAAGGGATTCATCTAAAGCAAAAGTTTTGCTAAAATTCATGATCTGCACTTTAAAAGCATGTAAAAAAGAGTGGCCTGCCACGGTATGAAAACCTTGCTTTGGTATAAAGAAGAATTGCTTGCATATAAGTTTCACTTGCATATAAGTTTTTTGCTTTTCGCTAATTAATGAGCCATCAAGGATTACTTCACTAATATCAGGAATTCAATATTGAACCACAAATGTACCTTGATGTACTTGTAAGATTGTGTGCGCTACTGCTAATCTTACTTGGCCAAAGACCAATAGCTTTTAAGTCGGCAGTTTCCTCATTAATTATTGAATTTGAAGATTATCTTTAAGTAAAGTGTTTTACAATTGTTTAAATGCTTCATAAGTAATTTTGCGACTTACAATTTAAAAAATACCTTCCTGCTTCTTTTTTTTTAATCCTTTCTCCTTAGTCTACTTTCTCCCCCTCAGTTTTTATGAGTTAAACTAAAATTATGAAAATCATTACCATATGCTTATTCATCATCACTGTAGGCATTTTTAGTGCAGTTCCTTGATTACTAGAAACATGCAATATTTTAAAAGATGTGTTTAAACGTAGATGATGAGGTACAATGACAAGATGATAGAGATAGGCTCGCCGTATATCTACAATCAAACATCAGTCACATAAGAGTGCTTATGCATCAAACAGAAAGAATTTTTTTTTTTCATTTTAAATTTAAGAAATTTTATGCATAATGTTTTCTTTTATTTTCAAAGGAAATTATTTGTATAAAATATGGTAAAGTGTCACTGACTAGCTTTGTACAAAAATAACAGAAATAAAATCAGATAAATTGCACCAATATCAGTGACTAGTTTTGTACAAAAAATAGTGCATAGTTAAAATCAGGTAGGTTATAGCAGTATCAATAAATAGCTGTATATAAAAGTAATGACATAATGAAAATCTGCATAAAACATTAAAATTGACTACTCCTGCTGTAAAAAAATCTATTCATACAGAATTGTTTGTTAATATGTTTATGAGTAATTTGAAGATTACCTACGTGTTGAATAGAAAGAATGCATTTGTATATGCAACCCTGAGCTTTGGTACATGAATCTTTTGGATTTGGTGGCCATATAGTTTAAAGATGGCTCTATGTTTACCTCCCTTTTTGATATAAAGATTGCAGGGTGACTATCAATTTTCATGTCCTAAGAGCCTGAAGTGCTTTGTTTCATTATGGTTGATTGGCAAATACAACCCTTTAGAAATGATTTTACTTGCATACAAATACTTTGTTATAGTGTAGACAAAAATGTGATCTGGTGAAAGCAGGACAGCAAAAACATTGTCTATTTAAGGATCTGATAAATCTAAATACAGATAGCATTTGCTGAGAAATGCAATTTTAAATCATCAACATTTTGGTTACATGTATTTAAAACATTTAGCTTAGCTGATTAAAAATTAAGTTTTAAATTTTTTATTGCCCTTGATATGGACATTCGCAGCACCTTTCCTTTAATCCATCCAGATATGTGAACTGCTCTCTTGAACATTATACTTATCAGTATAAAATGGGAAAAAAAAAAAAAGCCAAAGTTTATGTTCTGTGGAGAAAATATATCAGTATGTGCTACGAATGCAAAGAATATGAAATCCGACCAGGCCTTTCAAAGAACTCTGAAGATCCAGCAAAAAAAAAAAAAAAAAAAAAAAAAAACAGAAAATCTTAGCTGCCAAAAATTTTACCCATCTTAACAGAGAGAAATACTAAAGCAAAAGTAGCCCCAAATGGTGAGAGTAGATAGAAGAAAGTCAGTTATCTGCTTTGAAAAGATGATAATTGGAGATTTTGCCCAAACTGAAGAAAAAGGAAAACTTGGCTGTTTTCTGCCATAAAAATGCTTATAACTCTAGCCAATAAGTTTGAAAACATGAAATCACCAGAAAACAAAATTAAACTTTTTTAAAATATTAGACTTTCTCTAAAAACTTATGAAGTAATGCTATACACTCAAGCAGCACTAGTTTTTACAGGATTCTATCAAAACCAATCAGTCTTAATGTAGTTTGCATATTTAATTATGTTTTGGATTAAAGGGAATAAAATTTCTATTATCTCACTGTGTCACTAGAGGGTGGCACATGCTTGTGTGTGTGTGTGTGTTTTTATTATTTCCTTTTAGATTTCAGAAGCGCTCCCATGATCATATTCATTTTTCAATGTATCATGGCTGTGTTGTGTGTTTATTTCTGTTCACCCACCAAGGACCTTGAGCCATCGAAATACAGTTAAAAATCATCATGATTGTTTGCCTGTTATACCATCAATTAATGGTAACAGTATGTTTTTAATATTTTTTAGCTCAGTTGAAGCATTTAAAGTATTCATCTAACACATATGACTAGTGATTGATAGATATTGGGCATAGAACTAAACAGGCATAAACAATACATTTTATTGTTTTTAGCCCAAAAGGTGTTAGCCCAGAAGGGCTATTAATCTCATTTTGGCATTTTATGTTGATTCACTATAAATGTCAGTTCATTTTTCAAATTGTTTCCACCAAATATTATCACCCTGTGTATATTTAAAGAAATTAAATAATGAAGAATCTGCATAAATGTATGTTTGTTTCTCGCATTGTGATAAAACAACCGTACCTAGAGCCATCAAATTTTGAATAACATAATCTTCCACTGCATATGAGCATCTGGAAGCTCTAATTGGAATTGTTTTTATAATCAATTTCATATTTTGTAACACTTCAACAAATTTTTGATTTGCAAACTCAACGATTTCAAAATGAGCAAAAGCGAAACTGTACAAGGGGGGGGGGGAATTATCTTGAGCATGTGAGACTGTGTATTGAAAATTCTAAAGGTATGCTCATTTTAAAATTATTTTGTGATATTGGTGTTGAATTGAATTTTATGGTTTAAGTGCAGAGAACATGATATTTAATAAATAAAGTTAACCCACAAAAGGTTAAAAAAAGTCCTTTTGGGTGTAATGTAAAATCTAAAAGCTTTCAGATTTTTACTTCCTTCTACGAAGTAAAAAGGAAGTATTGTAATCGCAAAAAGTTTCAGGCAGCATATTTCAACGAAAATATCCAATTTGACTTCTATCGAATGCATTTTAACGATGTTTTTCATATCTGTAGGTGAGAACAAAAAAGACTCTTTTCCTCCAAAAAAATTTATAAAACTGCTTTAAAATTAATTCTGAAGAGAATTATTCGTGGCGTCTGTACGAACGTATGTACGTACGTATCTCGCATAACTCAAAAACGAGTAGCCTCAGAACATTGAAATTTTGTATATAGGACTGCTATAACATGTAGATGTGCACCTCGTATTTTGGTTGCAATCGGCCACACCAAAAGTATATAAATATATTTGTATATATATCCACTCTGTTACCCGGTTCAGTGATTTTAGTTTCTTTACTCTTATATGTTTGTAAATTGTGCATTTTTTGCTTTAAAAATTATTGAATTATATTGTTCTTATCTTTTGGTTAAGATTTTTATGCCTTTAGTAAATCTGTATGCAATATTTTTAGAATTATCAACAATTTTGAAGTTGTTTAAGTGCCGCTAAGCCTAATAATTTTTTTTTGATGGCAGCCATTGCATGTTTACATTTGAGACAGCAGAATAGTGGATTTGTTGCCATTCTAGAAAAACTTAGCTTCACAACAACAAAGATAACGCTTTCATTTATTATTGCGAATTAAATCTTGCTTAATCCTTTCTGGAATTTTTTCGAGGAAATAAGTGTTTAAGATTTAACTGATTTAACTGATTTTTTATTAATTGAATGTGAAATATTCAATCGTCTGTGAAAAACATTTTCTTTTGGGACAGTGGAAGATTATGTTTGCTTAATTTCTTTTATACGTTGTTCTAGCTTTATTATAGTATTTGAATAGAACTTGTGGCAACAATTAGATAATTCTTTAAATGATATCAATTTTGTGCATTCTGAGTTATAATATGAACGAAATATAATACTGTTAGGTGAGCCTAGCACCAGAGTGTCGCTAAGGTAAACAGAGTGAATTTTAAAGAATGCATTTATTCTATTGTGGTTTATGCACTGTTGGCGAAGTAGATTTAATTGAATCCAATAAGTTTAAATGAAATGCAAGTAAAAATGCGTATAATTTAATATTCCGTACAAGGAAGTCATGTGGTGTACACACCAGATTTTTTTTATAATGATTGATGGAATATACAACAAATTAAAAAACCTAATGATAAATCAGATATTTTAGGGAAAGGGGGAAATAGGTGTTTTTTTTTTATTTTGACTGTTAATTTAGTTTTAAGAATTTGAATTCCAATATCATAGGAAAAAAATAGCACTTTTGCTAGATTGCATTTTCATTTTTCATTTCTTTTAGTTATAAGTTTAATTGTTAGAAATTATTAATTAAGTAATAAAAATTTTTAAGCTAGCATAAATAAAAGAAGTGTCTTGCAAGAAATTCACTGCCCCAAAAGGTTTGTTAGCCCAGCCTAAGGGTCTTTTCTCTGTCTGTGGCTCTATATTTAATGCAATTGTATATTGTTTAGAATTCTGTAATGAGCATTTGTAGACTGCCATGTTTTAAGATCTATGTTATGTTTTTTTTTTTTTTTTTTATATTGTAGAGTGAATGTGTCTTAAAATATAAGAGTATAAGATTCCTTTATTTTCAGATTTTTAGCTGGTGTGTATTCCGGAGCTCACAAAACCATGGCTGCTGGAAAATCAGTCAGTTGTGGTGGGGATGATTTTACACACCAGGGTGGCATCACCAATGGGGCAGCATGGTATAGTGTTGCTGGAGGTATGTGTCATGTCTAATTAAATGCTTATACATATCTTCTGTCAATTTTGTGCAAATATTACATTTTGTGAAATTTTATGAAAATCAGATTTTGCGTCATTGGGGATATTTTTATGGATTATATTGGTCATAGAGTTATTTTATGCTAAAGATATAAAAATATTTTTCAATTTATCGACTGAATTCATGCAAGCTGAATACATTATGGAAATAATAAAGTAACTGTGTCTGTTTTTGTTTTTAAAATTATAAAGTGTAAAAGAAACTATCCTAAAGAAAATATGAGGAGATAGTTTTGTTGGATATTTAAGTCTTCCCTTTTTAAACAGATATATGCGTACTGCAAAGCAATTAATATAATTGTTAAATGTGAGGTAAAGAAAGTTCACTGTTAAAAATTAGAGCAAATTATTTCTGCTGGGAATGTTGCATAAGCAGTTATATGAGGGAATTTGTGTGACATTTGGAATTATTACTGTGCAGATTCGGGAAATATTTCATTTGGCTTTGATAGGCAAAGCATATCTTTAGTTAAGTTTTATTTTTAATTTTCAGTAAACTTGGTGTAAGTCATTAGAAAATGACTTAACCAAGCTTACTAAAAATTATGCTATTACATATTTATTTAATTCTAAGATGTTCTTTCTTTTCCTGACAAATAGAGTACATCTTGAAACTGATAGCATTGTTGTTGTAAATTATGGTAATTAGTATTTACTGAAACATTTCCATGATATTGTGTTGGAGTTATGCCATAAAAGTCTTCTTAATCGGTCTATGTACTCAGATATAATTTGATGCATTTTGTGCCAAGTTTTCCTAAAGGTAAAATGTGGTGACTAGATTGGGACGGCTGCAACTGGATAACATAATTATCGAGTTCCAGCTGTTTTAGTGTTTTTTTCAACAAATTATATAAAGACTATGAATTTTAGCTGTTACTGCGTGGCAACCTTCTTGACATTTTCTCGGGGAAGGGGACATGGTCTCGGCATCCTGAAAATTCTAGATAGAATAGTGCAGCTGTCATTTAGAATTTTGTTTTAGAATCATCAGTGTTCTCAATAATTCAGAAGTTGATATATTATAGAGAAATAAAGATAATTAAAAAATGCCAGATTGTGAATGTGAAGTAGACTTTGATATTGCTTAAGGTACAAATAACACTGACTCGGCAGAATCAAATTCTGATATCAATTCAAAAGGTTGTGATACATAACATATCTAGTAATGAAAAGGCATTGTTATTATTAAATAGTTGAAATCTAATAAAATAAATATACTGGGTAAATATATTGTAATGTTTTATTTATTTGACTTGAAACTTTTACTGGTGGTTGTGCTGATATTATGGAGTGCATCTTACAAGTCAGTGATACCTTAGAACTGAAAGAAGTTGTCTCAAATTAAATTTAGTGAATTAAGATCTTTAAAGACAATATTTGTTTTGATAAAATTATAAAATTTATAATTTCATCATCAAAGATATGTATATAAATTATAAAAATTTTTAAATATTTTAAGACATGTCTTTAATTCTTTGGTGTTGATTTGAATCTGAGAGTTAAATTTTTGCTTGGTAGTCATCAAATGAAATACCTAAAATTAGTCTTATTGTTATATCTGAAAAAATTTAAGTTTGTGTTTTAATACTTTTAATTTTATAACTTAAATTCATCTTGTCGTACAAAACTAACTCAAAAAAATATATATAAAACATTCAAATCTCATATCGTCATTCTTATAAACATTCGTATATGATATCTATCAATCAATCGTATATCATATCTATCAATCATTCGTATAGTGGTAGTACAATCTAACTTTTAGGTTTGCGTTGTAAGTAACCTATGCAAAAGGAAATATCAATAACTCCAAATTCAATGAAACTCCATGTTTCTTAAAAGCCTCCCGGCTCAAACAAATGGAGGGACATGACAGACCACAGTAAATTATATACGCTACATAAATACACAAATGCAATTAAATTTTAAACACACATTTATTAAATTCTTGAATATATTATATAATTAAATAATGGATAACTGATCAGTATCCTACAACATATTTTTACTCGAAAAAGTAACTCATAATGTCACATGCATTTACAGCTTACAAAAATTAATATACCTTAAGATGAAAAATAACACATATCTCATTCCAAAATTAACATACTCATATTAATTTGTAAGTTTACTATTTTTGACGTTCAATAGCTCACTAATTAAGCCGGTAAAACAAATCTTTAAACCTTCCTATACAGACTTTAAATTAATTAGTCATTATTCAAAATATTCTAATCATTTAGTAGTTTACATATAAAATAAATAATTTCCGTTTAAGTAATTTGAAAAGATAGAGAAGTAGACAAATTTAAAAATCACTCACAGATGGAAGACAGTTTTTCTGGATTGAAGAATCTTTAGTGTCCAATCCACTTGGAAATGAGCTAAAACAATTTTTTTTTTTCCAAAACACTTTCAGAAGCGTCCATTGATTCAGGAACCGCCTTAAATATGTCCATTAAGTGAGAGACAATTTCCGAAAGAAAAGATCTTTAGTGTCCAATCTTTTTTCTGTCAAAACACTTTCAGAAGCGTCCATTGATCTCAGGAACAAGGGAAGCATGATACCTCCTTCTGGAACAAATCTGTATCTCATGACAAATTTCTTCAACTGGAATGTCTCAAACATGACTATTCAAGTTCTCCAAAATACACGATGAAGCGGCGAAACTAAATTTTGGGTAGAGCACTTTTGGCACAAACTTCTTAGTTGTAACCAATCTCTCCTGTCTATGACGAACAATTCTAACTGGAAAGCCTCTAACATGAATATTCAAAGATCACAAAATACACGATGAAACGGTAAAATCAAATTGTGCGTAGAGCACTTTCTCCGTGCGAACAAATTCTCATCAGCGGGAAAGCGGCGAGAAGCCTCGCCTCAGACCGAGTCGCAAGCCCCCCGCAGGAGGTAAAGCCGCACCGAACTGCCTTACATCTTTGCAACTCAAATGTCTCCAAATCCGATGCAATAGCCGGCGCCCGTGAGAGCAAGACCCGCAAGGGGTCAAGCCCCCACTCCTCTTCTTACTCTTAGCTTGAAAGAATCAGGAAACAGAATGATCTCTAGCCTGGTGCAAGCACCCAGAAAAACTCGGTTTCTCCGCTTCTGTGAGTTCATAGGCTTTCAAAAAAATCATAAAATTAAATCTTACCAATCCCGGAATTTTATGTTATCTAAATTGAGAAAATGACACACCCATGACGAATCAAACACACCAGAAAATCTGACAATGAAATCCGAAAAACATCTGCACACATAACGTGAGAAAAAATAGACCCCCCAACTAACAAGCGGAAAATAAGCTTTTACGAGAATCCAATTTCCCAAAGTTAGTTTGACCACCCACTGTCTTGAAGTAAGCAAAACTGCAAGCTTTACAAAGTGACAGGAAGAACGATTTCCGTTTCACACGCATTAGCTAAAAGGTGACAATACGCCCTCTACTGCCTCCATTGTTAAAAGGCCATAACCAGATGGCTTCCACAACCGTTTCCCGCCTTAGTTACAATTCCTACTCAAGAATAATGAGTTAAACAACACCTTAAGAACCTAAGAATACTTTTTTTTTCGATTAAAATACACATAAATACAAATGAAAATATTAGAATAATAATGACTTAAAACATATATTAATAATAAATTCGCGACATGACATTATTGGTAATAGCAGTTGGCACCTGGAATTATACTATCAACATTACGACATGTGACAATTTTTAAATTTTCCATAACACTTACAAAACAGCCATGGGTGAGAGTATTACTGAGAGCTCAGTATTGGGTGTTGACTCAATCATCTGTACCATTTAATTAAATGCTGCAGAATTTGCAGTAAAATGTGCATTGATATTTTGAATACACTCATTAAATTGCTGTTGCATTAAGTCTTGTGTTTTAGAGATGTAGGGGGTAATTTTGAAAGCATTGTTGCATTATTTAGAGAAGAAAGAAGAATTATGCATCAAAATATAGTCATATTGTCAACACTGTAAAGGTGTAAAGCTGAATTATCTGTTTCTTGTACTAATACATTCTATAGTCTCTATAGCTGATGATTATGTAATACAGTAGTTTAGGTTAGTTCATAGAAGTTAATAACAGAATGTTTTTACCTTGCCATGTTACCAAAAATAATTCAGTAAATAGGCTCATTTGTAAAGAACTATATGACAAGATGAATGTACTGCCTTATTGTAAATTTTCTTTTTTCTATTAATTTGTTTCAGTGTTTTAAAATTCATTGTATATTAAATTTTAGGTACTTTTTGGTTAATGCAGTACCAGTTCTAATTGTGTGACAAAGAGCCAAATATGATAACCCATTTTTTTTACTCCATGGGTAGTTATGCAGTAATGGCACTGTGAATAAACTGGGAGAATAAACATTGTTCCAATCATTTTTCTTTTAAGATTCTTCCATTACATTTTACTAAGTGCCCCCCTCCTTTTTTAAAGGAAAATTTCAACATGACTTTCACGATTTAACAATACAAAATGGCCAGATAAACATCAGTACCATCACCTAGATTGCTTGTCACTACCTAGACTTTTTATTTAGTTGAATTCATCAGAAAACACAAATGTTTCAGCAAAACTTTATTTCCATTTATGCTTGTGTAATCTGAAATAATGTGGTAACAACCATTTTTTTTTCTAGTCATAAATTTCTTTATTTATTTTGGTTTGATAAAATAATCATTCTTTTCGTATAGTTGTATGCAATGTTAGGTTGCCATTTACTTCAAATGGTACTCTGTTAAGTGGAAAAGTACCAAATTTTATTTATTCTAATAAGCATATGGAATTCTGTTTTAGAATGCTGTATTTTATATTTGATAAGATAAAATCACATTGTCATTTATCAAAAATGAAAACGTGAAGGGTATTTTCTTGTTAAAGCAGCTACCACATAAGCCTCTGGCAACATTTGAAATTTGCATATTATAGACTGGGCAATTAAGGTTTCCTATGCTAGTGACTAAACATAGTAGCTACGTTAACAAGCAAGTACCAAATAATGTTTTGAATGCTATGCATTTTTTGCATATGGTTTTTTTTCGGGGGGGTGGATGGGGAAGCAAAAATTACAAAAATCTCAAGGTTGTTGTCATCAAGCTCGTATTATCAAGATCTTTGTCAATTAATTTGCTGGACTATTTTTATCTGTAGAAGGAAATTAAATGCATTCATACAGTAGTGTCATAATGAAGCATACAGTGCATGTATGTATATATATGTCATAATAAAAACACAAGGAAAAGACGGAACACTGTCGATGCGTAGTTATCCTATATTGAAGAGGAAGTAATCTGATTGCGTCGTAAGCTAATGTGTTGACTTCGTAAATAAAACTTGGCAGTAGAAGGGATTTTAATTCCATTTTTATTTCCAATTGATATTTGTGGCCACAATCACTTGGCACTCTAGTCGTGCCTTTCCACACAAGATTTACATTTTTGATATTGTTGGGATAGAAAGCAAGCCAGCGAAATTACATGTTAGCACAGCACAGAGCAAAAGCTGAAGTGCGTAGTTATGAAAGATGGAGGCACGCGAAGAGAAATGTTTTGGTTTACAAGGTCAGTTTCAGTTCTTAATTATTACATCGGCTGCGCCATATTATTGTAATGAAACTGTGGTTTGAAGGTGGCAGAGTGGAAAGCATGATGACGCAATTTAGCACAACATATCTTGAAAAATCACAATCTTTATTTTTTCCATGCATATCAAATCATCCTTTTTCAGACAAGATATTTCTTAATAATATTTGAATAGAATAATTCCCATTTTGAAGTACGACGTCATCTTAAGCAAGTAAGCGGCAGCAGCACGTATGAAATGCTTTTTACCAGCAGGGGAGTTAACGCGGAAAAGGGCAAGGTTATAGTACTTTCATAGCAAGAAGGCTGAAGTTTCAGTTCACAGTTTTGGTTTAGAATTAATTTGATTGGACGAGAGGCATCTGCATTAAAACGTTACATAAGATAGAAAAGTCTGGAACCTGTGAGAAGAGATGAATTTAGGGGTAGATCATCAAATTTAGAATGTTAATTTTGAGGTCGTCAATTATTTTTTTGAAACAGCTATCATATTCTGTTATATCTTACATATATATATATATATATGTAGGATATTTACAAGTTCTGATTATGTTATTTTGACTTTTAGGAATGCAAGATTTCAATTATTTGAGTTCAAATGATTTTGAAATTACCCTGGAGTTAGGCTGTGACAAATATCCTTCTGCTGAGAAGCTTCTTGAAGAATGGAATAATAATAAACAAGCACTAATTGACTTCATTTGGGAAGTAAGTTTTATTCTATAATGTATAATAATATTCATTTATTGTATGCAACATGTAGATGAGCAACATAAGATAAAGTGCTATCTGTAGTGCCTTGTTGTACACTGGTGAGCAAAAATTTGGACAAGGCAAAATAATTAGCAGAACGTGGTAACAGAATGAATCAATAGACTTGGGACTGTTACAGCCTTACGGAAAGTAGTGTCAGAAGGTTGAAAGCATATAGATAGTGTGTGCTCGAAAATTCTGTGAAAGCTATTACACAGTATACAATCATTTTAATGATGATGAAGTGCTACTACTGTGCTGTATGGTTAACATGCAATTCAGGAGACATAATTTTAATGACTTTACCTGAGGTCACACACCAATGGGAAGTCACAAATGGGGCAGAAGAGTGTGGAATCGCTCACAGCATCATTTCACAGGCCTAGAAAGCATTTAAAATGGCTATTAGATCATTCAGCGGTGGTCTCCATGAGTAACCATGACAGTCAATGACCAGTATATTGCTCTGCTGGCAAGAAAAGACAGGTAGCAGACATTGGAAGATACAGTCAAAAGTCGTTAATCCGGACTCGTCGGGACTTCGGCGATTCCGGATTATCGATTTTTCCGGATTATAGATCAACAGTTTAAATCGCATAAGATGGCATGCAGAAATTCTAAAATTAAAAATATGAAACCGTATTTTATGAATAAAGAACAATTAGGATCTAAAGGGTATCAAAATTTACAAAAAAAAGCTTAATATTTATTTGTTTACATTATTAAACATTTCTTTCAATGTAAGTTGTTTAAGTTGCTTCGTTTCTTATGTGATAATACATTCTCTTTAATTCTACGAGGGCCATCCAGGAAGTAGATTACGTTTCCGTCTGTGTCCGCTAGGGGCGGGGCTAGCGCGGCAATCTTGGGGTCAGAGCGTTGCGCAGCTCAGTCTGCATCTAGCCGTGCTAGTGAGAGGTTCGTGCTGTGCTCCGTTCAGATACTGTGACGGTTTGAAATGTCTGCGTTAATTGAAAATCCCGCGAGCTGCGAGGTGCGCTCAGTAATAAGGTTTCTGACTGCAAAAAACTGTAAACCGATAGAAATCTATCGGCAGCTTCGTGAAGTGTATGGGGACAACATTATCACTGAAGGTGGAGTGCGTCAGTGGGTCATAAGATTTCAAAATGGCCGAACCAATGTTCACGACGAAGATCGAAGTGGGAGACCCAGCATAGTGACCGCCGAACTTCTCGAAAAAGTCGATGCTAAAGTCCATGAAAATCGAAATTTCACAGTACGGAACTTTCTTTTGAGTTTTCCACAAATTTCGCGAAGTTGTTTGCACGAAATCATCAGCGAAAAGCTTGGTTACCACAAGTTTTGTGCAAGATGGATTCCAAAAATCTTGACAGAGGACCACAAAAATCAGCGAATGGCTGCAGCGTTGAACTTTTTGGACGCTTACCATAAGGATGGTGACTCTTTACTCGATCGCATCGTTACTGGTGACGAAACATGGGTGAAACATGTGAACTGTGAAACGAAATTGCAATCAATGCAGTGGGGGCACAGAAGTTCTCCCCAAAAAACCCAAGAAATGCATGCAAACAATGTCGGCAAGGAAGATGATGGCGACTTTTTTTGGACAGAAAAGGTTGTAATTTTGGTGGACTTCCTGGAAAGAGGCACTACAATAAACTCTCAAAGGTATTGCCAAACTCTCCAAAAACTCAGAAGAGCAATTCAAAACAAGCGCAGAGGAATGTTGAGCTCTAAGATCTTGTTGATTCACGACAACGCCCGCCCCACACGGCAAATGTCACTCGTAAAGTTCTTGAATCTTTTAAGTGGGAGTTGTTTCCTCATCCGCCGTACAGTCCCGACCTGGCACCGAGCGACTTCCACCTATTCCCAGCAATGAAGAAGTGGCTGGCTATGCAGCGTTTTGATGATGACGCACAGCTGCAAGAAGAGTAACGAAGGGTTGAAGGCGCAGGCGGCCGAATTTTTTCGACGAAGGAATTTCCAAGCTCGTACATCGCTACGATAAATGCCTTAATTTGTATGGTGACTATGTAGAAAAGTAGTATTTGAGTGTGGCTTTCATCTGTATATAATAAAATTTGTTTCCTATACTTTGTTTATTTTTTTATTCCAAAACGTAATCTACTTTCTGGATAGCCCTCATATAAACAGACATAATTTTTTCTTCAGTTACAAAGTTACTCTGTTCAAGTCCCGTTAATTGCTGTGCTGAGAATACCGACTAACTTGTCAATCGAAATTTTTTCGACTAACCTCTCTGTCACATTCTTCATTTCTTTATCTATTTTTTGTCTGATGGACATCGAAACATACTTTCAATGATCCTGGGAGCTCCAGAATCGGAATTCTATTTGACATAAACAAAAGTTCAAGTTTACTTTTATAGTATTGCTCTACAGTCTGCAAAATAATAAGCCGGATCCAATTCGAAAATTACGGAACAACGCAATCATCATTTAGCATATACCGTCCGTTCAAATCCATTATACATAAAACGTGCACACAAAAACGTATTCTGCACTTGCGCACACTCCAATGCGCAAGCGTAAACGCCTATGCGCAAGTGTCAACGCGGTGCATGAGCAGAAAGTTTTTAGCTTTGAGGTCCGGATTATGGGTGCCCGAATTAACGACTTTTGACTGTATCATAAAGCACATGCAACATACTACTGAATGTCCAATATCACATTTTACCATGGCCAGGAGGCTGCAAAAGGTTCTCTTGTCTCATGTGCATCTAGTTAGAAATGCTTTGTTCCGGATTTTCTCTTCATGGATAACAGCACTATAACTCATCGTACAGTGTTGTTGTAGAGCTCTTGGAAAGTGAAGATATTCAATGTATGGATTGATCTGCAAAGTCTTTGAACTTAAATTGAATGGAACATGTGTGGAATCTTGTTGAAAAATAGTTGACAGCACATCACTGATGCCCAGCTACTGAAGTTGGCACTACAAGAGGAATGGGAAGTCATGCATCAACAACTCCTTGACAACTTTGTTCTCAGTATGGGTAGACATTGTAATTCATGTATTGCAGTCAGGGGTGATCATATCAGACTGAATTTTTCTTGTAAAGTGCCTGTAACATGGCTGTAACATCATTTCTCCAGATGTACTTCAGAACTACTTTTTTAATAAAGTACTTTTTATCTGATTCTTTGTTTAGATGGTTTGGGTCACTTGTTCCTATTTTTACATCTTAGGGATCTTGTGGTATGATATGAGTTCATGTGGAACACTTCTGCATAGCGTTCTTGGGCAATCTTAAATTTTGCACACCAGCATACTTTTTGTGATTAATATCGCACATGTATAATGAAGCTGTTGCAGACAGTAGTTTAATAGTTAATTTATACTGCAGTTAATTAGTTTTGAATGTATGTATAGAATCGATAATTATCAGATTGTTGTTAGCAGTTCATTACTTTGTTTTTAGATTTGTAAACAAAAAATATAAGGACTTGTTCGTTTTGCTTTTTGGTCTGGAATTTAGTTTAAAAAAATCAATTTATTCAGCATAAAAAATTTCATTTTTAAAATTTAATTGCTTTCATAGGTGGTAATTGCTAGTTGAGCTGGTGGTAATGGCTCAGGCTAATTAATATCTAAATTTTAATTTGGTACTTGTTTGTTAAGGGTACCATAGTGAAAGAAAACTTTCAGACAGGAAATGCATGGAACTAACAGGAACACTGCAGCAAGGAGTAAAATGTAACAAATTTTCTCACATTTATTTTTATATCACTTATTATCACTTCACTTATTTAATTGTTTAAATGTTGAGTCCAGACTTTAGTTCATGGATGACAACTTATCATACAGTAGCTGTCATAGAGCTCTTGGAGAGTGAAGACATTAAACACTATTGACTGATCTGCAAGGTCCTTGGCCTTAAATTCGGTAAAAATACATTTCAGGTTACCAGAGCCCACCAGCGGCCGAGTGGTAAAGTCGCTGAACACTGGTAGTTCGGTCCGAGGTTCGAATCCCGCGAATGGGCTGGCTGCATGGGTGTTTTCGTGGTTTTCCTCATGTGTAATGTGTATGCGAGCCAGTTTCCCTTAGAAAGTCCTCCACGAAGGCATCCCTCCCTTTAGGCAGATAGCTTTCGAGGCTTTGTCATAATCACACACACATTTCAGGTTACCGCTTGGCGAAAATTGGCGATTTTTTTGGTGCCATTCCTGTTTACATCCAACGCCTTTCACAGTAAAATTGCATCCAAAACGTAATGCAATTAAACATGATTAAAACAAAAAATTGCATCAAAAGAATTAAGTAAAGTTAAATTTAATTTTAAATATTCCTTGCGCCATTGCTGCAAGAAATGAAATTTGAATTAACAACATCTCTATTATTGCAACTAATCTACAATCATTAAATTTGAGATCATACGTACATCAAGTGCAAGTATCAAATCCTGAATAAATATAAAATTAAAATTCCAAAAATTATTTAATTCTAAAAAATTCTATTTATAAAAATGTGTAAGTGAATGATTGTTGAGCAGGCAGGAGACAGACTTATCAAGGAAAAGTTGCCTCCAAACCTAACTCTTCAATCATTCAATTCGTGTTTCGTCATCAATGTAGGCAAGGGTAAAAAGTCAAAACCAAAAGTAATACCAAATGTGGTTAAATATTAGTTTAATTTGCCACAGTAATTCACCATACTTCCCCTTAATAAGTCTTTCTCCTGCCTGTTCAACAATCATTCGCTTATGCATTTTTATAAATAAAATTTTTTAGGATAAAATAACTTTTGGAATTTTAATTTTGTATTTATTCATGGAGTTTGGTACTTGCACTTGATTTACATATGCTCTCAGAATTTAAATGATATTGTAGATTAGTGTGCAATAATTAATCATTTATTTGTTTGCATTAAATTTCATTTAAATTTATTAACTTTAAATTTGCTTTTTACAAATAGAGAATATTTGTTAAATTAAAACGAAAAATATATAATCTCAATAATCTTCATTTTAAATCAAACAAGGAAATAACATAAGAATGGAAATACATGTTATCTAATCTGCACAGTACAAAAAGAAAAGATCAACTTACCTTAAAAATTTCTGTTTCTTCGATATGTAATATGTGTTGTCTATATCTTAGAGGCTATAGAAGGATCTTTTTCCTGTGAAACTTAATTTTCTTTCTTGGGCATGAATACAATAATATTCTTTGCTTTGCTCACCAGCACTGATGCAGCAGTACATCTTTTGGATGCAAATGTGATTAGGTTTCTAATTGTGAAAAGTTTTAACTCTTTGTGTGTGTTTTATGACAACCTTCAACTTCTCATATAAAAAAAATAACAAATTACCATGTTAGAAATGCAGTATGATCTGAAGTCAGATAAATATTTGATATAAGAAGTAATTTATTTTATCCTAGAGTCATATTGGAGTGAAAGGTATCGTAAAAGATGCTTTGTCTGGACAACCTATTCAAGGGGCAACAATTAAAGTTTTTAATGTAACTGGAAATCGTCGAATTGATCATGATATTACATCAGGTAATAAAGCTTATATTGTTCTGTTTGTTTCACAATAAAGTATAACATGAAATTTTAAAGTTATATTTTAATGATTTTGCATAGTTTACAAAATTTTGGTGATTATTTTGATACTTGAAAAATTTATTTTTATCATAAAACTAGTAAGTTATGCTATCATGAGTATTACTTAAAAACTTGTGCAATTTGCCATTTTTGAAATATTTATAGTCATGAAGTTATCATGTTTTGACCTACCATTAATCTAAAGAAGGGCATGAAACACAATAGTTTGTGCTATGAGCTTGTTGCCTTTTTTTTGGGGGGGGAGGCAGTTTTTTCTTTGGGGTGTGTGTGTGTGTAACTTAACAAGTAGTTTATTTTACGAAGTCCAACATAAAAATACTTGTCTTATGAGTAATATTTGGGTACTTAGCTTTAATAAATAACCTGATCTAAAATTTATTTATATGGTTTATTCACATTGTCATTATTTTTAATATCAGAAGAAGAAAAAATGAAAACTGGGAACATTTCTTAGTAAAAGTTGCTTCATTTTTTTAAAAAACGTATGTTATTTCAATAATAGAAGCCTTTTAGGCCTTGTATTCAAGAGGCACAAGAAGGAAATATCATCAAATTCTTATATTTAATATATGAAATATCGACAAATTCTTATATTCATAGAAAAATTTAAGTAAAATGTCAACAACAGATTTAAAAAAAAGTATGTAAAATGGGATGGTAAAAAAGTGGAAAATATAAAACTCTGCACTATTTAAAGCTGCATTTAAAGAAATAGATGTAGAAAGTGTTTTTTCAAGTTTTGGCAGTTTGATAGATGAGGAAATGTTAGATGAAATGAGAAAATCTTAAATACAATAAATCTAGCATTCATCTACCTAGAAAGCTCAAGTAATCAGAACATTCTAGAAAAATCCCTATCTTTCCAAAATGTTAAGTTACTGAGTGATTTCTAACACCTTTATAGAGCTTGTTTTACTATTAGCATGCATACAGTCTCATCAAACAGTGTAATTTAGTGCCAATATAAGATGAGCATAGCACCGACAACACAGTCAAATGAACATTTTTTGGTTTTATGTAAACCCAGTTAATTTCTGATTAGCCTGTTTAATTTTTGTAAAGAAGTATATAAGTTGTGTTCTTTCACTGCATTTTGATAAAATGATTATTATTTGGGACCTGTCCTTTACAGGATAGAATGTTGTGGAGGTTTTCAAAATTAAAAAAAAAAAAAAAAAACATGATATGTGACTTTTGTTTCAAAATGGATAAACAATGGCAATTCAAAATGAAAAATTATGATAAGCGATTTAAGTTGTCTATATGCTATATTCATAATTTATGTGTCTTTATTATCTAACTAAATGAATATATTTAATGTAATATATTACATTAAACTTCTGCCCAAATAATTGGTGCAAGTTGGGAACAGCTCTGCCAGCTTCATTTTCAACAGGATTTCGTAACTGAATAAGAATCGGATTTGAGATAGGAACTTTCATGTTTAAGGTCTATGAAGTACGTCAGCTTTTATGTCTGCAATTTTTTTATCCTATAATTTTAGTGTAGGTTTTTGATATTCAAGTTTCAAGCAAAATTATTATTCAAGCAAAAAATTAGATAACTATTTTTATAATTTTAGACAGGAAATTTCTCCCATTCATTTGCATGTTCTAGTATGAATTCCAATTTTTTAATGCACTTAATTATTCAGAATTCTCACATATCTGGCATTTGACATTTCTTTAGCTTTCTGGATAATCAAACTTTTGTTGCATATAATACCCTATCTGATAATTTATGCAAATGACAGACTAATTTTTCAATATTGGAACTGGTAGCTGGAGTTTTCAGAAATGACCAGCCCACTTCATTGTTATTAGTTGTTCTTACAACTTTATTGTCTGAAAATGGTCTGCACAAGCCCACAATATTCATCAATGCAAGGAATCAAATCGCTTGTCATCGGCAAGAGCCTTGAGCACCATATAGGTAACAGCCGAACTTAAGCTCAGTTCTTTCCCCAGTTTTGAAGGAGAGCATCCCTGGGGTGGGGTTGAGAGTCTCCCATTCCTCTTCTCCTCCCACCAACCTCTTGAGGACTTTCAGCTCACTGCATATTTAGAGTGCCCTCATGCTGCACAGAAATGCAGCACACAAACATCTATGCCTTCTCCAGGATTCAAACTTGGACCCTTTGGTACAGTAGAGTCACTAACCACTATCTCACATGGGCAACTCTGCCCATTTTTCTGGAATTAACCCTCCAAGTATTACGTGTTTAGCCCTGAAATTTCAAAGTTTGTCAAAATTACATGAATAAATGGTATTTTCTTGATTATAATTAAAAAAACAACTCTCACTTAGTACCTTGATTCCTTTTCTTTCAATATTCATCCAATCCAAAATTGAATACATTTAAAGCTGGCAAAAATTTTTAGTTTTAATGAATACAAAAGTTCAATATTTATTTATTGGTTTTATTAAACGTTTCTTTCACTTTTTTTAAGCTGTTTAATTTTTCATGCAAAATTTTTCTCTTTAATTTTCTAGATACACATAATTTCTTATTGAGTTATGAAGTCCTGTAATTCTCATGTTGAGAATTTCCACTAAATGGTGAATCAAAATCTTTTCATTAGTCACTTTCACCACTATCAGTAGCAGTATTTTCTGGAGTTAAAATAAAATTATGGATTTTGCTGTCTGCTAGTTGATTGCTGATTAGGACCTTGCCATCTCAATGAAAATTTCTGTTATAGCACTTCACTTTTTATCTCTTTTTTAAAAGTTCTATTGGAAAATTTCATATTCTATAGAGTTAAAAATCTGCACCAAAATAAGGTTGTTGTTTGGCTAGATTTTGTAACTGCAATTTCTGAAGCCTGAATTGGTGCCCATACCATTTTTACTTCCTTGTGCGAAGTAAAAAGGGAGTATTGTAATCGTGAAAAATTTCGGGTATCATATTTCAACGAAAATACCAATTTTGGCTACTATCCAATGCAATTTAATGATGTTTTTGCATGACATTCGCAAGTAAGGACAGAATAAAGGACTCTTTCCTCCCCTAAAAAAGAAAATTATAAAACTGATTTAAAAGGAATTCTGAAGAGAATTTTTCGTGGCATCTGTGCATATGTACGTATCTCGCATAACTCAAAAACGAGTAGCCTCAGAATGTTTGAAATTTTGTACGTAGGACTGCTGTAACATGTAGATGTTCACCTCGTATTTTGGTTGCAATCGGTTGGACCAAAAGTATATAAATATATATATATCCACTCTGTTACTCAGCTCAGTGAGTTCAGTTTCTTTATTCTTATATGTTTGTAAGTTGTGCATTTTTTGCCTTAAAAATGATTGAATTATGTTGATCTTATCTTCCGGTTAAGGTTTTTTTTATGCCTTTAGTAAATCTGCATGCAATATTTGTGAAGTCATTAACAATTTAAAAGTTGTTTAAGTGTAGCTAAGCCTAATGAATTTTGTGATGGCAGACATGTTTGTTTATATTTTAAACTTGGCAAAATAGCAGATTTGTTGCCAATCTGAAAGAACTAAGCTTCGCAACAACAAAAATAATGGCTCCTATTATTATTGCGAATTAAATCATGCGTAATCCATTCTGGAATTTATTTGAGGAAATAAGTTTTTCAGATTTACTTCATAATTTTTATAGCTATTTTGAGTTTTTATGTATTTTTGCCTTGTCGTGAAGTAAGAACTGAATTAATTGAATGAGAAATACTCAATCGTCTGTGAAAAACTGTTTTTTTTTTGTTTGTTTGGTTAATTTCTTTTATACATCGTTCTAGCTTTATTATAGTATTTGAATAGAACATGCGGCAACGATTAGATAATTCTTTAAATGATATAAATTTTGTGCATTCTGAGTTATAATATGAACGGAATATAATACTGTTAAGTGAACCTAGTGCCAGAGTGTCGCTATGGTAAACAAATAGAGTGAATTTTAAAGAATGCATTTATTCTATTGTGGTTTATGCGCTATTGATGAACTAGATTTAATTCAATCCAATAAGTTTAAATGAAATGCAGGAAAAACAGTGTGTAACTTAATATTCTGTGCAAGGAAGTCATGTGGTATACACATCAGATTTTTTTATACTGAGGCAAATAAATATGCTTTTGCTTTGCAGATCCTGCTACAGTTCTAAAATTAGAAAGTCTTTTTGACATAATGAAAAACTCAGACTTATAATAATAATAACCAGCAAAACATAATGAGCTGAATCAAAATAGTTATGGGAGAACTAAATTGCTATTTAAATGAACTTTCTTCCAAATTTAAGTTTTGCTCTTCTTGTGCTGTTGTCCAAGAAAAAGAAAATGAATATTAGCTGCACCCCACTCCAAGCAAATATGTTTTGAGGCTTCACTCATAGTTTCGGTCAGATAAAAAAATATTACCCTCCAAACTTTACAATCACTCAAAGGGCCAAAAATATTGTTACACTTAATGTGATTGCCAAGATGGTGTGCACTTCCTTGGCCAAGTAGGTGTTTGAAAGTGACATATAGAAACCTCAGTTAGTTGGGATTAAAATCGCTTTTATGACACACTTGCTGTTCCTGGAGTATTGTATTCTCCATTCCTAAATTTTCTAAAAGAAAAAAGTCCTGTTTTTCTCATGGTGTAGACATTAGATCATTCTGAATATTGGACATCTGGATTTCGGACTTCATACTGTAGTTGCTTTTGAGCAGACTTATAAGTCGAAAGTGGTCATACTGAGATTTGTCATTGGGAAGAGTAAACCTTGTATGTAGCTTGTTAGAGTAAGTTGCAATTAGAGATGAATGATCCACTCCAGAACCGATTCAAAGAATGATTCACTAAACAGAACTAATGCTCAGTGCTGTGGCAAAAATGGAATGGCAGTTCTTTAACAGTTCACCGAGAGCTGCACGAGTTGTTGAGGAGCATGCTAGAAATTTTATTCCTTCTAATGGAAACACTAGCAGTCCTTCCTTTTATTTTAAACTTCTGGAAACTTCTCTGACCTATTTTTTATGTATGTATGTGTGTTATGTATGTACATATGTATGTGTTTTTGGCTTGCTTGTGTTCCATCTAGTATTTAATAAAGCAAAACATTATAAACTTATGCATCTCAGCAAAACTGATCATCCCTGTTCGATAATGAATGGCATTTCTTTTCCCATCTGGCACTGCTAGGATCTGTTTAAAGTACGTAGATTATAGGAACTAGTTCCTCGGATTTCCAGTTGTCAGCACTCCAACACTAGTTGTAGATCTGAGTCGTTCAGGGTTGTGATTATTCATGTGCTCCTCGTCTAGCTGTGGATCTTATTCCAACTGAGTCTTCATTATTTGCTCTTTTAAATCTGGCTCCTGCAGAGTCTTGATTATATGCTTTTTTACTTGTTTTGCACCTAATTCCTATTATATAAGAAACTTGGATGAAAAAGTTTGAATATAATACAGGAATATAAAATTTTGATTAAAATAATGCAGATTTTCTATCTATAAGAAAGTAAAATAAAATGAAATTTCAGTTATAAGATAGTTTAGTTTTTCAAGTGAAGTATATTTATGCCTACTGTTTGTTTTGTATACCAGTATATTTCAAGATTTAAAAAAAAAAAATAACTGTTTTCTGCTAATATCCAAAACTTCAAGGCAATTGGAGTCTCACCCCATGGTATTCTTTAAATGCAGATGAAGAATGTCTGCTATTTAATGTAACCTTCGGCCTATCAATTGACAAGTCTGCAAATTTTATCTATTTTGAGTTAGTTTTGGTTATGAAAGACAAATTTTAATTTTTTCTTCAATATTCCTGTACTAAGAGTTGATTGTATTAAATTAAATTAATTAATAGCAGGTGAAATGACTTGGAAATATTCAAACTATTACTGTGTTTAAGGTGTTATTTAATTTTTTCTACTTTTATATCATCCATATATTTCTCTAAACTGTTGCAGTACTTTAAAGGAACGTTTCTTATGTACAATGCATGTGTTGTTAATTCTTGTGCTATTTCAATATTCTCATTAACATTACAAGGGAACTGGAACAGTTACTATATCATACAAATTACAGAGAGATTCACATTATTCACTTTTATAACAGCTAGAAGTGATTAGTATTAATGAGAAAGGTATGTCAGCACCAGAATATGCCAAAAGTTAGGCCTTTTCACCTAAACACTTAATCAAATTATGAACTCAAGAGGGGAATATTAGATATGTATTTTCGATGAATACACACACACTCGGTAAAAGTAGCAAAACAGTTACATTAACGTCATAAAATTTTTTTTGCCCTGTATAAAAAGATTAAAGTAACTGCAGTATGGTCTTGATTTTTTCCATTCTTGTGAAGGCTTAGATATAGTAAGAAAGCAAAACAGTTTAAATGCTACGGTAAAATTTTTAGTAGCCTGGATAAAAGTCTTTTATTAGCCATAATGTACCCTGAAATTAAAGCCTCAATGAGAGAAGCCATGATTATTCATTGCAATGAAATAAAAATGTGAATTAGAAATACACAAAAGCTGCAGAAAAATGAAGTTGGTAAAGGTTGATGCAGAAGTTAGGTTAAGGACATAAACCATCGTTTCACAACATAGAATTGTTTGGCAATAAAACCTTTACAACCATTATGCTAATCAGTCAAAACTAACAGCACGGAGGCTAGGTCTGCGAAATGGTTGTAACACACAGTTGGTTCAGTGGTGGCTAGCACTTTTAAAAAGTTCATTATTTTTAACTAAGGTATACTGGTTAGACTGGATATGCCTAAGTGAAGGATGTTTCAAATAAAACTGGCATATACATGGGAAAAGCTAGAAAAGCTCCCATGCAGGCAACCCATTTGCTAGGCCTTGAACCAAGCTTAAATTGCAAGTATTCTTTGATTTTTATTGTTCTGCCATTAATGGACCAGCATGGAGATTGTTTTAGCTTTTTTAGGGTTCTGGAAACTTAATATACTAGAATATGTATGCTATAAACATATTTATACTCTAAATACCATAAGAACACTTAAAAAAATTGTGTAATTCATTTTAGCTCAATATTCACTTTATCCTCTTATGGTATCTGGAGTATCTAAAGGTGTGCTGTGTAATAAATTTCAGGAAATTTTATTTATTTCTTGTCGTTTTATTATCCATGCACATACATGGAAATGTTTAATATGTGGTATCTAAGAAGATTAATTTTATTACATTATGAATTACAGTCTGCATAACAGTAATAATAGTTTACTGATATATTAATTATATCACTCATCACAAGAAGTGTATGCAGTATTTAATTATACAAGATTTATCATTAGTATGTTTTGTAACAGTTTTGTTTTATGTAATACTCTAATAAAGCTATGATAAATAATTACATTTTTATTTTACAGTTCGTGGAGGTGAATATTGGCGATTATTGACTCCAGGTGAATATCGTATTACTGTTGTTAAGGATGGTTACATCCCAAAGACTGAGAATGTTGTTGTTTCCAACCCACCTCACCAGGAAGCAGTTCGCCTGGACTTTAGTTTGATGCCCAATTTTGATGATCAATCTGATATGTTATTCGACTCCATGGTAAGTTGTTCTTTTACATGCAAACTATCAGTCATAAGCTGCTAATTTTCATGGATGATTATACTCATCATAAAACTTATTTCCATATCATGGATGCAGTGGTGTCGTGAGGGGGGTGGCAAAGAGGTGTATGATGCCCCGGGTACTGCTCATAGAGGGGTGCCAAATGGTCTCCAAACAAGATTTTCATCATATGACCGTGTTTTTTTCAAGGGGTGCCAAAACAGTATTTTGCCCCGGGCGCCAGTTATGGTCGCTACTCCACTGCATGGATGAGTACCAATAGTATGCTGGAATGAGCTCAAGTTATGTTATTTAAAATGTATTCTATGTTTATAAAAAAATTTAATAAATATTTAGTAGATTTTTTTTTTTTTACTCTGTTTATGTTGTTAGGTTTAAATGTTAAAAAAAATTATTTCTAAACCTTAATGAAGTCGTTCCATTTGAGAAATATTTGATGACTTTTAAAATATGATGAAAATATAATAAGGTGTTTGTTTCTGATGCATAAACTTCCCTTTTATTCTAAGCTATATATTCATTTTTTAAAGAACTTTTAATCTATGTAAGAAGTTAACAACTGTGTTTTAAAAGAGACTGGTGTAGTATAAGTTATACACATTTTATGCAGTTTTAGTACATATAAGCAGATTCTTAAAATGAAACTTTACATTGTTACCAAATGTCCAGGCACAGTAAGATAGATAGCTTCCTTGCAAAGCAGGTTTAGGGTTGCTAGAAAAGGACAAAGGAAGGCAGGGTTGTCACATTTGACAAGAAATTGCCCATTTGGTGACAAAATTAGCAATGTGCCATGGAACGATGGAGAACCTTCTGGAATAAATTCTTACCGGTTTAGCCCAGAATGTTCTGGAACACAAGCCAAAAGCTATATAAACCCTGCTGGTATGTGTAGTGTTAGTATTCAGTCAGTTAGTTAGTTCGTGTGGAGTCCATTGAGTTGACAGTCGGTCAATGAGTGCCGAGTGGGTCGTCGAGTGCATCGAAAGCATCTCTTAGTGTATCGCGGTTAGTGCATCATCGAGAGAGTGTGTTGAGCTTCAGAAATGACTGAACCGAAGAGTCAGGAGCTGTGCTTTGTGTGTCGTCGAGTGCATTGCAAGTTGTAATGTGGAGAGTCTTGAGAGTGCATGGAGTTCCGAGAACGACCAAGCAGAGTCAGGAGCTGTACTCTGGTGTTGTGCAGTGAAGCTCTCTCCACCGTTATAGCTTGATAACCTGATGGATGTGTTGCTGATTGTTCCAGAGAGTTTATAGTAGATCTTTGACGACTGTAAAACGTGACTTTGGAGCTGTCCTGATTAATATTGTTAAATAAAGTGTATTTCGATACTCCAACAAGTGCTGTCATTGTTATTCACTCCAAATCTGCCGTGCGAATGTGAATTGAAGAAAGAAAATAACGTAACAGTATCTATGTATGCTTTGGAATTTTAAAAGAATTGGTTCAATAATTATTAGAATCAAATATTAAAGCAAAGCAGTTTTTTTCAGTTAGTTTAAGGAGTTTTATATCTTGGGTGACGAAACATTTACGATTTCAGAATTCTATAGTCTTCAGGTTGAGGGGGGGACTTTTATTTCAATACATTATAATAACATTAACAGGAAGTTACACTAAATGAAAGAAAATAGATAAAAAATGTCTGCGAAATAAATTATTTACTCTTCTTAAGCATTTGAGTATTTCCTATAATCATTGTTATGTGATTTCTGATAGTGAACATGACTGTAGTTGAAATGTTGTAACTGTAACTGATTTCCAGAGTGCTTTTAGCCCCCATTTTTCTTGTAATTCCAACATTCAGTTTACTAATCTGTTAAATGAAATTTGATATTTTAATTAAATATCAAAAAGTGTTGTACAAATAAAATTTATTTAGTAGTCTGATACTAAATTCTGCCTAGTTTAAGTATTATACTTGTAGTCTTTAACTCTTAATATGAAGTGTATTAGTAAGTTATCCTCTCTTTCTTTCCATATTAGCAGATTATTTTTTAGAAAGGGATGCTTATAATTTTAAAAACTGCAAAATATTTAGAATGATTGGTAGCATAATGTTAATAATGATGTTTTTTTATGTTATGAAGTTTGGTAATATTTAAACTGGTTACCTTGCCATTAGTTTATATAAGTTTATAAAATATTCATGCATTTCATATTTATCTCTTTACTTTCTTAACTGAAGATTCTTTATTTTAGTCCAGTGATCCCGATGCTCTAGAGATTTTGAATCTTTTGGATTTCTTAAGATCACAGAAAGCACAGAATTAAAATAACCCGGATTGTTAAAAAATGGCAAAGGATGGAACATAAATTATTTGTGCAATATTGATATTGTGTATGCCATATCCCTGTCAATTAAACAAAACTTCAATTTTTTCTTCTTAAATATGTGTTCAATTTTTTCTGTTGGAATTCCTGTATAATTATGAAAAGTGATCTCATATGTTATTTATTTCTTAAGGTTTACTGAACAAAAATTAAGATATTTTATGTCATGTAAGAATTATAAATACTATGCATTTTAAAAGAAGTTTATTTATGAAAGCAAGTGTTACTCTAATTTTTTTTTGTCTGAATATGGGTTAGAACTTAATACAAAGCAATTTATGTCCTATATTCAGATAACCATCATATAGTGATGTTTTTTATGCATGTTATTATAATATTAGGTTTGTATTTAACCTATATTTTAAAATTTATAGCTTACATTTAGTTATATCTTAAAATAATTTTAAAAATTATTTTTTAAAAATTATGTAGTTTTTATAGAAGTTAAAATTATTTATTTTAAACTTGAGAAAAATAATTTTGCCCTTTTATTGCAAACCATTTCAATCCTAAAAACTCTCATTCAGTTTTAAATATTTCCATTAATCTTTTTAATCTTTTTAATAAGGTATTTAGTTTCTGTTATTATTTTATTTTATTTGAGATCTTTATTCTAGTCAATTATTTGTTATCAATGCCAAAACATTATTAGATTTGAAATATATTTAAAGCAAAAGTCTTTTATAAAATCTCATTTTATGTCCAAACTAGTCTAAGGCAGTTTCAGATTTTATGTTTTTGTTGTTTCAGAACTTTTATATATTAAAAATAGTGTATTTATTGCTAAAATTACATTTGTTGTCAAATAAATTTTAATTTATTATGAACAGAAAAGTGTTATCTATTATTGAATGACTTACAAATGTACAGTACAGATAAATAAATATTAGACCAGTTTTATTTTAGCACTGTAAACATTTGTCTCAAATAAAAAATGTATTTGTGAAATGTTTTTTTGTTTCATTGTAATGATTCTCTGATTTTATAATTATAAGCACTTAGCATTTTATAATTATAAGCACAGAAATAATTGAGCAAAACTCATACTTTTTACAGATTTCTGAAATTGTACTAAAAAATAGTAATGTTTTAAAATATTCGATCTTACTTTCTTACAGTGTACACTAATTTTCTTATAGAAGTAATAACACCACTCTTAACTGGTGATTAAAAGGAATAATAAAGCATCATATTTGTAAAATTATGTACATTCTGCTGTTCTTCTTATTTTTATTTTATTTGGGATTTATTTTATACAGTATGGGATTATTATAATTATTTACTTTCTGAAGGTGGAACTTTTTTTTTTATTTTTAACCATTTATTTTCTTTGTGCTGATCTGTAATCATGTGGCTGAAACCACAGACCACTGGGCTTCAACTCAACTTTGATTTCTGACATTTCACCAGGGTTTTGTAGTTTCCCTCATGTGTTAGTTTTCATTAAAGTCCTCCATAAAAGCATTATTACTGGTAAGTGAATATCTAGTATAATGCTTTGCCATAATCCAGTCCAATAATTTATTTTTGCCATTAATTAAATGGATTGTAAGACAACTAGGAAACTGGTTCATATTAAATTTGTAAAAATATTAATTTCTACTACTAAAAATGTTTTATGTAGAATTTAAATAGATAGTAAATTAAAATTATAATCTCTAAAATTAGTCTTAATTTATTTATCTTTGTTTGTACAGTATTATTTCTTTATTGATACTACAAAAAGGTGTTAATGCTTCCAATTTAGATAAAATCCTATGCAATGTAGACTTTGCTACCAAATGATAAGACATTTTTCTATATTATAAAATTATGTTGTTGGATATGGAGTTCAGTTAATAATTCAAAACGTAGTATCATCTAAATTTCTTAATTTCTGTAACAGCTTTTATTTCATATCGCAAGTATCATAAGTATGTTTTTGACAGCATGTTATAAGTTAACTACAAAATTTTAACTCTATTTCTTGTATGTATTCGCAGCGATGTTTGTTAGATGTGCTACTGCTTGTTGATTTTGGATCTTGCTGGTCTCATGGCACCACCTGCAACTGGCATTTTGAACCAATTGCTCCTTTATCTGTTCCATTAGATTTTTTAATGGTGATGTAGTATTTGGGAACTCTTATTCACTAGCTTGACTCTTTTAAAAATCACATAAAAAAATAGCAATGTCTTTCATGAGTGGCACCCACAGCACCCCGCATATTGAAATTTAATACATAGAGAAAGAAATTATTTAAACATAATATGATTTCTTAACATCAATATTTTTATTTGTTTGAATAAACCAAGGTATGCAATGCTATCTGCCTGTCTTTGTGGAGAGTTTCCTTAAAGAAACTAGCTTGTATTTGTATTGCACTGTTGACCACAAAATTTCCATAAAATCAAAAGCATAAAAATTTTTAAAAAAAGAATTAAAATCATAAAAATTCCCATGCATTGGTATTTGATCAGAAAAGGAATGCAGAAATAAATGATGAAACTCTTACAATTAAAACTGTTTTTGAGTTGAGGTATAATGTTATTTGCAGTAAAGATTTAATTTGATGTATTGATACTATTAGACAGGTAAAGAAAATAGTATATATTTATATTTTCATTTAGAAGTTAGCTCTATATTTGTATGATTTTATATTATTAAATAGTTTAATTTAATTATTTATTTTAAACTCTTCTTTGGCATGTTTTATTTGAAAGACGTTTTCAAATTGTAATATTTTTAATCAAAGGTTTTCAGTATGTTTGTTAAATATCTTTTTTTCTTGTTTGTCTAAAATATATTCTTGATTTATGCAAATATCCTTCCTTTGAAGGAGATACATTTACATATGCCTACAGCTAAACAAATGGTAAAGATATTTAATCGTGGAGATATCTGATAAGTGAAAATTCATTTTATTTCATTGGAATTTAATTTTTTTAAATTTGTCAAAAACAAATTTCATCTATATATTAATTATGCTGAGATGAAATTTATTAATTTAATAAACAAAATAATGCATTACTGATACTTGAATTTAAATGCATACCACAGATCTATCAGGGTAGGCTTGAAATAAACCCCAGCTAAAAAAGCGAGTGCAATTCTATTCAGATTGCAGTCCTTGCTTTATAAGGGGGCAGGAAAAAATAATACACTGAAAAGTATTTCGTTTCTTTTGGCATGGTCTTTAGTATAGTTCCTCAAAGATTTTAGAGTATTTATAGTGGCAGAATTGAATAATTCTCCTAAAATGTCTATTGTATAATATTTTTGTCAAATCGATATTATTTTTATTTAAATGGTATTTATATTTGCCAAATTAATGTGAATTATTTATGAATTTAATATTAGAAAAATGGATTGTTTTCTAATATTAAATTCAACATGGTTTAGATCTGGTTTTAGCAACAGTGTAAAGTTAGTTGTTTTGAATTGTTTTTAATGGAGGTTGACAAATATGTAGTGGCTCCAAAAATAGGGAGATAAAACTTCTATTATCAGAAAATTTTTTTCACTTAATAAATTAATTAATGGCAGGTAGTGTCTCTTTCCATTATTAAGAAATTTAATATTCTCAACAGCATTTTAATGATATTCTTTAGTATGGAATCACAGAAAACGAGCACCATTGACTCTTGCAAAGTAAGTGAGAAATTAATATAATTACCTCATGCCTCAGTTAGGAAACATGTATTGAAAATAGCTAAAACGAGCTAAATTCATTAGCTAAAAATATACTGTTATGTATTCTTAAGTGAAAACACAACAAAGGGCTTGTTAGTGGGATCGAAATAAGTGATAAAATGCTGAGTCAACTCCTTCAAATGATGAGATCTCCTGCTTCAACGATGTCAGAAAAAGTGAAAGAAAGGTTGTGATTAAAAAAAATTGCCTGATTCAGTCGAACATTTAATGAGTTGAGGAATCTCTTGAGAAAATCGCAATTATATGGATAAAATTTTCTACATTAGCAGATGTGTATCGTAGCTTACCATAATGAGCATGCCATTAAATACCAGAATTTTAAAGAAACCGAATTTGAAGATAGAGGTGTGCGTTACTGCTTATAGTTAGCTAGCTGAATGCGCTTTAGTATTGTTAAACATTGCATAGCATACAAAATAACTTGGATAGTAATAGTTTTTAAGGTCATTAATGTTATTGTCTTATGTAAATGCCTTCATATAAAATTGTAAGTGCTGTTGACATTTATGAAGGACTTTCAGTTTTTTATGATCCATGTGAATAATGTAATAGCATTTGCTGCTAAAAAGTGTAATCAAAGATGCAGGATTGATATATGTTCCACCTTTATGAGGATTAAATTATTTAAATGTGAATTCTGTCGTTCTGTTCTGGGTGTTAAGTTACTTTGCAAGATGGAAATAAAATGAGGGCAATACTTTACCATTCAAAAACAGTTATTTTCAGTGAGAAATAATAAGTGCATTTAATCTTTCTTTTTTTTGGGTTACAGTAATTGTCATATAATCATTTATCCTTTTTAATGCTGACAAGAATGCAGGGGCAAAATTAAGAGAATTTGACCATTATGTTGAAATTTTTAAAAACTAATGGACAGATGTTAATGAAATTTGGTATGAATGTACATTTATAACAGAGAAAGAGATGTACCATTCAAAAGTCTTTTTCTGTTCACTTGATTATCTGTAAAGCTCATAGTGTAATGATGCCCAAAATCCACGTTGTGGTATAGAACTGAAAGTGAATTTAATATGCGGTATGGTTCCTTCTCACAGCCAGACAGGTTGCACAATATCATGGCGTACTGGACAGGAGGCAGTTGAAGAGTCCCTGTGGTAGTCGATCCCACTCTAACAGCAAAGCATTTTTCAACTCGGAATGGTTCTCGGAGGACGATGGGGCGAAATAAAATTGCCCTCACAAGAGCGTTTAAGATCAGAAAATCTGCCTGCCCAATCCTTGCGGTGAATGTCCTCACTTTCCAGGTAATTGTCGACCAGTTGAGCCCTATGTGGATGAGCGTTGCCGCCCATTAACAGTAACCCAGCACCAACATCTTCCCTAAAAAGTTGAACATAAGGTTCCAAGATCTCCTCTCTATACTTCGTAGCAATCAGGGAGCCTTTGTCAAACACATGCAGGGATATGCGGCCGTCCAACATAGTGTCTGCTGAAACCATTACTCCACCACTGTAATGATTCTTTTTCCTAATGAAAGAAGGATGGCATCGTGATCCAGGCTTTCTCCAGATATAGGAACGCTGAGAGGTTCTGGTCGAAGGCGTACGTTATCTTCACCAGGCTAAGCGCGTTCTCTTGTGTGCTGCAGTGAGCGGAATGCAAACAGCAAGTCTTCTGGAATAGTACCCTGTCTTATGAAGCCACCAAGAAACTGCAGGCCATGAAACTCGGGTTTCAGTGGCAGCATATAGCTCATGAGAGAGTTGTGAAGCTGTAGCAATCCTGTGTCGCCGCACTGAACGTGCCGAATAAGAACTTCATTCATCTTTGTGGATCTTGGTCGATCTTGTCAAAGTCTTTTCGATATTGATCCTGTGTCCAGAAATTGCAGACGACACGGCGTTACACTGAGCTCTGTAGCCACCTGCGCTTGTGATTCATTGTCCTGTCTCCAATCTGTCAACAATTCCCCATCTCATTCCATTATAGATATATTTATGGCTGCTCATTTTACTTGAGTATCTATAAAATTTACCCAAGTCTTGTGAAAGACATGACGAATATCTTGAAGGTGTACGAGCACACAAATCACCGAAAATCTTTCGTGCCCTTCGTAGCTAGGGTTTTCAGCGCCCAGGGGCAAGTGAAGATTTCGCGCCCCCTACTGCTTGCCAAGGATGGAAAGCATTTAATTCTAAAATGACGTAACATCAATTTGGCGCCCCTTGGATTCTGCGACCGGGGACAGATGTCCTCCCTTGCCCCCCTCTAGCTACGCCCCTGGTGCCTCAATGCTCC